TTCCCTTCCCCATGGACTGAGGAGGAATTTGGGTCTGCAGGTCCGTGTGCGGGGATGGAGAAGCCAGGCAGTGCCGTGGGGCAGGGAACAGCTGCTAGAGCCCGTGTCGGCTCCCCAACTCCAGATTTTCTCCCAGCCTGGTGGCTTTTGAGGACTGTCCTCCATTTTTCTCTCATCTTTATGCTCACACGTCCCCTCCCCGCCATCCCAATGGGAACGCTCCAGTCCGCCCCGTGCCTGAGTCCTGCCGTTGCCCGCGGGCTGGGGTGTCACACAGGCTCCCAGCAGGCTGGTGCCGTGTGGCTGGGGGTCCCAGCCCCTTCAGGGGGTCCCAGCCCCTTCAGGGGGACGTGGTGAGAGCAGGCAGCAGCCAGGGAGGTTGCTGGGAGACTGAGGGTTGTCCTCAATCCCCTGCCCTAACTCGCCCTCGAGCAAAGGGCTGGCTGGCTGCCCGTGACCTCCTAGGACGAGGGACCTTGTGCCAAGGTGGACCCAAGTCCAAGGGATGTACAGCTGCTCCATTTTTCTCCTCCCTTCGCGGCTTCCCCCAAACGCTGGCTCACGATGGCTGGGGGAAACCCGGATCCCTGGTTTTGGGGCATTAACACTCCGCTTTGCAGCCCAGGGGCTGGCTGGAGCCTTCCCAGGGAGGGCACCTCGCCGTGCTGGCGTGTCAGGATGTGGGCACGGTTTCTGCTGTTTTTTAGGTAGCGATAGGATTAGATGTAGAGCGGGGCTGGAACAGACGGGGAGCACCTCCTCCATCCTCGCCGACGGGGGTCACCGGGGGGATTTGCTGAGGCTGCTGGAGCCCGGTGACCCCTCCGAGGCTTTGCCTCTGCCCTGCGGCACGCAGGCACTGGCGGGGATGGAGAGCGGCTCCCCAGCTGCTTGCCTGCCCTGCTCCAGTAGTTTTTATGGTGAGGTGGTGGTCTCTTCTTCGGAGGGCGGGGGGAAGGACTTTTTAGTTCTTGACTAGCAATGGGATCTATACAAAACTACTTCAGGAAAACGGCTTTTGTCTGAACGGGGTAAATGCAATAGAGCGCACTGGGCTGCGTGTCTAAGCCTGGGCCTCGGTCCCGCTGCCGTGTTGCGGGGGGCTGTTGGCCTTCCCCTGGCACCTCGGTTGTGCCGGGGAAACTGCTGCCCCCCTAATTCTTGTATCTGTCTTGAAGAATCGTGTAGGACCTTTCCCCCCCTCGCCCCCAGTTTAATGGTTTGGTGATTTTTCTGCTAGTGTGTGTAAATACCTCTGTAAATCTCTCCATTTTTCTCTCAGTATTCTCCTTGATTATTGTTTACAAAAGTAAGAGAAAAAAAAAAAAGGAAAAAAAAATAGCCAAAGCATCTAATAGGTTATGGACCAGGGAGACAGGATCTTCTCTGTGTACTCTGCCTTGCAACTCTGCGTGGGGATATGAGCTCTGTAACCATCCCTGTCCTAGGCTAAAGCAAAGAGCAAATGGCTTAGAGAATGACTCAGGTTTCCCCCGGGGCCAGCGTGGTACCGGGATCCAAGAAAACAGGGATTTTTATCTGTAAAAGGAAGCCACGTTGGAGAAGATGGGATTGATTCGCATCTTCTCGCCACGTTTGTCATTGTGGTTCTTCCTGTATCTTGACAATAATTAACTAAATTGCTGCATCATCACCCACCCTGCCCATGCTCGGCTCGCAGGCGCTGGGCACTATGCATTACGGGACAGTGAATCGCGGGCGGATGAGGCTGCACACTCAGGGTCCTGCTGTAACATGGGAGCGTTTGAATGTATGAGAAAAAGATGGCCCTCACGAGAGGGTGTCTCCCCTGGTGCAAAAGCCTGGAGTCACAAGATTGTCTACGAGGAGACGGAAGAATGTAATCCATGTTTACTGCTAGCAACCAAAGCTTGTTTGTGTCAAACTCTTGACTTTTTATGAAGTGGGTGGGAGGGAGGGAGTAATCGGGGTGGCTGTGCGTGGCTCAGGGCTTACCCCGGGCTGCGCTTTCCAAAGAGGTTTCCTGCGGGAGTCCCTGCAGCGAGATCCCCAGTTCCTGTTGCTGCAGGTTCTTCCCCCTCCTTTCATTTTTTTTTTTAATTTGTTTTTGTACCAACTATGTAAAATGTGTTTTTTTCTTTTCTGGAAAAAAAAAAAAATAAAGACCATGAGCAATGGCTGCTGGTGATGTTCTGTGTGCGGTTACTCTTTTTCTTTTCCTCCCCTGGGGCTGAGAAGCCCAGACCCAAAACGGGTGCTGCCTGGGCAGAGGGGCAGGGAGTGCTGGGAACTGAGGCTCCCCACGGCTGCCTCGACTTGCAGCCAACAACCAGCCTGCCCCCCCGCCTGCGCCCGCCTCTCCCCACCCCCCACCCCCCCTCGCCGCCCCCCACAACCGACCCAGCCCCACCGTCAGCTTGCAGCGACCCGTGAACGCCCTGGTTGCACCAGGCCACCCCAACTCTGCCCCGGCGCTGTCAGCCCCCCCGTAACTGCCCCGGCCCTGCCAGGCTGCCTCAAAACCAAGCTGGCGCCCCGTCAGCCTGCAGCCGCCCCATAGCCACGCTGGCCCCGCTGTTGGCCTGCAGAGCCCTGCTCTCCGGAGCTGCCCTGGCCCTTCTGGGCTGTCCCATAGCCACCCTGGCCCTGCTGCTGGCCTGTTGGCCTGACCTCGGTGCTGGGGAAGGTTATGGAGCAGATCGTCCTGATGGCCATCATGCAGCATGTGCGGGACAACCATGGGATCAGGCCCAGTCAGCGTGGGTTCATGAAGGGCAGGTCCTGCTGAGCAGCCTGATCCGTGACAAGGGGACCCTTGGTGGATGAGGGGAAGGCGTCTGCCTGGGCTTCAGTAAAGCCTTTGGCACTGTTTCCCACAGCATTCTCCTGCAGAAAACGGCTGCTCATGGCCTGGGCGGGCATGCTCTTCACTGGGTAAAAAACCGGCTGGGTGGCTGGGCCCAAAGAGTGGTGGTGAATGGAGTTAAACACAGTTGGCAGCCGGTCACCAGTGGTGTTCCCCAGGGCTCCGTACTGGGGCCAGTTCTGTTCAATGTCTTTATCAAGGATCTGGACGAGGGGATCGAGGGCACCCTCAGTCAGTTTGCAGGTGACACCCAGTCGGGCGGGAGCGTTGATCTGCTGGGGGGCAGGGAGGCTCTGCAGAGGGCCCTGGCCAGGCTGGGGCAATGGGCCCAGGCACTGGGTGAGGGTCAGCAAGGCTCAGTGCTGGGTCCTGCACTTGGGGCACAACAACCCCAGGCACCGCTGCAGGCGTGGGGAGGAGCGGCTGGGAGCTGCCCGGC